CTACCATGGGGAGTGCTCTGAGGAATTGTTCGGATTAATCCCAGCCGCCAAATTTCACGAACGCACATCGCGGCAGAACTCCCGATACCATCCACACCATCTGGATGATTGGCGGTCCACCACTGTGCGATTTAGAAGATGTTTTCTTCCTCGCACGACCTCCTTGTGGAATCGATTACCATCAGCGATTTTTCCGGACCGATACGACTTAGAGACCTTCAAGAAAAGAGCGTACTCCTTTTTAAAAGGCCGGCAACGCATCTGCAATTCCCTCCCTGGTGTTGCAGTTGTTCATGGGCGGCGGTAGTCACTTACCATCAGGTGAGCCGCATGCTCGTTTGCCCCCTCTCCTATAAAAAAAAATATAAAAAAATAAAGAGAGCATCGATCACTAATAAAAAAGTAGATATGTTACTGTAAAACCTCGAACTACGGTAAATCCTAAGATTTTCCAGTAAAACCTAGGATTCACCAAGTCTTAATGGTAAATGTTCGAACTGTTCTGTGGTAATCGTTAATTTCGGACATTTACTGCCATTAACTTAGTAAATCTTAGGTTTTACCTCAGACACGTAAAATGTTGAAAAATAGTCATGTCTAGAAGTGTTTGGCGCATTGACGTGCTCGCGGGCAATGTGCAGTATCACCTCTCTCCGCTCGACACAGACGATCGCTTAGTACACACTTTTTTTTGTCTAGAAGTATTTAAGAGACACAATGAGTGTGATACAAAGAATTTATGGAATACTGACTAAGATGTTTTTAAAGTATAGATACGTCATACTCGCTCTAAAATTGCAATACGAAAGTCAGGTAATTGCCCGACTCGAATTCAGTCGGGCACGCTCTCGCGTCGCGGCTATACCTTCGCTACAGTGCGTAAATCTTCTAGTTATTCGTGGTAAAAATGCCTTCCTGTGTTTTTAGTGGTGCACAAATTACACGGCTGTTAAACTGTTAGAGACAAGAAAAACGTCTCATTAATATTATGAATATAAGATATTTTATTCTTTATTATAATTGGTTTTATTATTTCAACACTAATCGCTAGTGTAAACTTTGACGCTCGCTAGTGTGTTCATTTTCTATATCGGTATGTCATGCGCTCACACCAATGAGCGCACAGCAGCAATCAATACACAACTAATGATGAATATTCATTTTATTCTAACGATAGGCATGCCGTATCATTTGTCTCTTTTTGTTGGCGCAACGTGTCATAATAAATAACTGTACGTTGATATATAGGTAGTACTACCTGCGCCACTTTAAAATACAATAATGTTAGTGTGTAACCTGTCTATCTTTTTTAATACGTCTTTGAATACTGACGTTAATACGAGTAACTTTTAGTTTTAGTTTAGTCGGTAACATGATTCGATGTTTAATAAATACTTTCTACTTATTTTATATATTTTTATTTCCAAAACCAACATTTACTAATAGTCATTGGTAAAACCTAGCATGTACCAAAATCTAATAGTAAAAGCCCGAAAAATCGTCCCTTTTAATAAGAAACCTTACATTTACCAGCTCATGTTGGTAAATCCTAAGATTTAAAAGAAAATCCTAAGATTTACCCAAATACTGGCTTTTATAGTAACAGATACACAATTCCATGCAAAAGTTCTCTAAAAACTGTCGCCAATTGTTTTGACGTAATTGTATTTGAAATAAATATACATTAATGCAAATTCAACCTTAAGTGCATTGCCTAAAGTTGTATTCACAATGCTACGTACAAATTAAAAGCGCATCCAAATGTGCGAGTGGGCGCTCATTCGGTAAGGACATTTTTTGTCACTGATTGTGTATCTAGTTTTTTATTAGTGATCAATGAAAGAAAGTTTAGTTTCGGGAGCGGTGCTGAAGCTTTTTTAACAAACTACAAATAGGTCTCGATTACATTTATTAACTATTACATTACAATAATGTATTAAAACTAATTCAGTGAAATACTGACTTCTTTAACTACGAGTACTACGATGAGAACTATAATGAATCTTATTCTAAATCTAAATGCAACGGCTTATAAAGCGTGGTCGTGAAATCAAGGAACCACTTCTCATTGACGAGGTCATTGGCAAGGTGGTTAAAAGCAACCGTCGGAATATCTCCGCCGCCTGGATAGACTACAAAAAGGCATTCGATTCGGTACCTCATACATTCGATACCCATGGACCCAGTCATCATAACGCCAGATGACGTGGCTGAGGCGGTCCGTAGGGCCCCGAACTGGAAAAGTCCGGGACTCGACGGACTGCATCACTACTGGCTGAAGGGGTTCGTGGTGTGTCACGCTGTGCTCGCCCGACAGTTTCAAGCGGCTCTCGACCAAAAGTCGCTTCCGAGCCTCTTCACTACTGGGATCACTCATTTGGTTCCTAAAGACCGGGAATCCACAGACCCGAGCAAATACCGCCCCATACGTGTCTACCCACCATATATAAGACACTGACATCCATTTTGAGTACGCGAATCATTCGTCACCTGGATTTAAATCAGGTGATGTCGCGTGTTCAAAATGGATGTCGAGGCGGTGTAACCAAGGAACCACTCCCCATTGACGCGGTCATTGGCAAAGTGGAAAAACACAACCGTCGGAACTTCTTCGCCGCCTGGATAGACTATAGAAAGGCATTCGACTCGGTGCCCCATACATGGCTAAAGAGGGTCCTCGAGCTGTACAAGGTTGACTGTACAGTTCGAGATTTTCTTGGGCAGTGTATGGGGTAGTGGAGTACGATCTTTTGTCAGCTAGGCCAGCGAATGACGGCTGCGGAGAACCACATAAGGATAAGAAGGGGTATCTTCCAGGGCGATTGCTTGAGTCCAATCTGGTTCCGCCTCTCTCTGAACCCTCTCAGTACCTTGCTGGAGGGTTCCGGGAGGGAATTTCAGCTTCGGAAAGGAGGTACAAAAGTGACCCACCTTTTCTGTATGGATGATCTCAAGTTATTCGCCTCCAGTCGCTCTCATCTTACGGAATTGCTAAACATCACTTGTGATTTTAGCAATTCTATTGGAATGGAGCTGGAGACGGTTAAGTGTGCGATCCTCCATGTTGAAAGAGGAAGGGTTGCTAACTCTGAGGGCATAGACTTATCTATGCCCATCAGCATAAGGACCCTTTCAGAGGCTGAAACGTACCGATACCTGGGTGTTACGGACGGCGAGGGTAGCCGCCGCCCCGTCGCCCCTTCATACCCCGTTGCGCCTCGCGCAACCCGCACACCGCCCGAATATCACGTGATGCCGTCGACGAATCAGCGCGCGGCATACCTCACGACGCTACTCACATGCCGAGACACTCTCTTTCGAGATATAAGAAGGGCATTTTGGTCTGTGAACTGTTCATTTCGGCAGCGGCACTACAAGATAGTACATCAAGAAAGAAGACCTCAAGAGAGAAAACTGCAAGAGCGAATACTCCATTGAATACTCCCCTCTGTATATATAGTTAATTAGTGAAAGCCGCTGTACATAGTCTGAATATATAATCGTCTACAGTACCATCTTTTCTTAAACAGTCCCTAGTGTAGTCTACCTTAAATAATATCAGTCGTCACACAGTTAGTTAGTCAATCAGTTAGTTAAAATCATACAGTCCACTGCAGTCCCCAATACTGGGTATGTCACAAAACATCGGTGTCGATGAGGCGGGTATGAGGCAGTCAGATGCGATGTGTTTTATGCACGCTTGACAAAAGTGCTTAACAGTCTTTTGTCGGGCGTTAATAAGACACACGCATATAACGGTTGGATCATGCCTGTTCTCATGTATACATTTGGCATACTCAAGTGGACTCAGACCGAACTGAACGCTCTGGATAGAAAAGTCCGAACTATTATGACGTCCCACAGGATGCATCATCCGAGATCGTCAGTAATGAGGCTGTACTTGCCGCGGAAACATGGTAGTCGCGGCTTTTTAAGCGCGCTTACCATGCATAATCGCGAAGTGTGCAGCCTCCGTAATTACTTTCTGACGAGAGCGGATGATCCATTCTATAGGGACGACGGCTCCGTGGCGCAGTGGCTTAGCAATGAGTTGCTGCGCTGGGTGGCGCGGGTTCGAATCCCGCACGGAACAAGTATTTGTATGGCCTACAAATGATTGTTCCGGGTCTGGATGTTTGTCCTTTTGAAATTTGTGTTTGTAAACTGCCTCCACGATACAGGAGAAAATCCTAGTGTGGGTCCTACCTTGGCGCTTTCACCCTAAACTGTGTTATGGTTGTAGTACCAGTGTCCACCGTGATACAGCACCGCGGTCTCCGTGCGGAACGCAGGGGTGAAACCGTGAAATCGTAAACTTCAATAAATTATTATTAAATTTTTATTTAAAAAATGATATGCAAGTATCTCAAAAACCGTTACGTTGTTCATGTTAATCGTTATTTTCTACCTGTACATCCCCGATGGCAAAGTGGACTTCCCATTGGTAAAATTGCCAGATTTAACTTATTTTTTAGTTTATTTTGGTATACGAACTATTTCGTTTCCGCTCATGAATAAAAGTCCTGCGCAGATAGCTAGTCTCCGTCGAGTATACCAAAACAATTATTTAATTTCTATGTCAGTGAGATATTCATTAATCGAATAGTAAGTATCAATTAATAATGTTTTTAATGATTCTTGAAGCTTTGTATAATATTTATTTTATTATAGATAGGTATGGATAGGCAAAATATACTTTTTCGCATTTTTACTGACTTTGATTGTTGAACATCTAATTCAGAGGATACCTTCTATTATTTCAATTTTCGAACAATGATAGGTTTCTATGGACAAACACAGCCGTCTCATAGATAAAAAGACAGGGAAAAGTTAGAATTTGCAGCTCTTTAAAATGTGGTTTACAGCTGTCCGTCCAGTGTAGATTTTCGATTGCTCGAATGCACCTTTTTTGAGCGTTGAATACCTTGTCCCGATTCACTGAGTTTCCCCAAAACATACATACATAGACGATTTACTAAACAATCTGTTTAAATACTTACCAAAATGATGCGAGGGACTGCACAATCAACAGCATGACCCAGTTGACGGAGATGCTGGCGATGCCGTTGAGTACAGCCGACGAGATGAGCGCAAAGAGCAGTACCCGACGCCGTCCGAACTTGTCTCCCAAGTATCCACCAATAATGGCACCCGTTATTTCACCTATTTAAATGCTATACTTTAACGAGCAATTCCTATGTATGCGCACTAACCTACAAATGTAATTAGTTTCTCGAAAAAGACTCTAACCAATTTGATGAAATTTTGCATCTAGATAATGTTGTAATGTATGTGTTGTCCAAGTTCATCAAGATATGTGTGATCCGTGAGAATTATTTTTCTAATGTCAAGTTATATTTGGTTACCCAGGAACTGAGGTTTATTTGACTATAAGAAGCTCTGACGTGATGTACTGCTACCTAGGTAAATAAACAGATAAATTAGGATTAGGTACATCTGTACTTAATTTATCCATTTATTTATCTAAACAGTGACAGGACAGTGCCGTCCCACCTGATGGTAAATGGTGATGCAGCCGAAGATGGTAAAATGCGCAGACTTAGCTTGAAATTTGGCGCAGGTCTTACCTCGGCAACGTCCCGCAGGACACTGGTAATAGGCTTGGGCAAAAAATATCGACACATCGAAATATCGATATTTTGTCATAAAAATATCGATACATAAAATCGATGTTTTTAATCGCGATATATCGATATTTATTTTAGAGTATCGAATTCGTATCAATTTTAATATATTTTAAAATGTTGTGTTAATGGACAAAACATGAAACAACAAAAGGAGCTACAAAAAAGCATTCATGTGTGGTTTTTTTCGTCGTCCAACCGTCAGTAATTAAAATTTTGGGCCTTATCCTTACATTATGCTAATGATGTCGATATATCGATGTTAATCCCGCATTATATATCGATACGATTTAAAACTATCGATTCGATATATATCGATATTTTTCCCTTGCCCATCCCTAACTGGTAAGCGAAGTGCGGAGTGCCCATAGATTACTGTATACCTAGTCAGGTCATAAGTATTATCACACAGTAAAAACTTTTCTTTTAGAATGCTGGCCACAAAAAAGTTTATTGAATTCGAATTTCGAATTGTTCATGAAAATAAAACTGTATACTTTTTAGAATTTTACTCATTTTTAAATATGGAGTGGACGCTTAAAGAAGACCGTGTTGCAGTTATTGCGTTGCATCGTTGCGGTTACGCGCCAATTAAAATTTTTGACATATTGAAAAATTTTAATATAACCAAAAGATTCGTTTATCGTACCATAAAACGATACAATGAAGACTCTAGTGTAGATGACAGGTCAAGAAGTGGTCGCCCTCGGTCTGTTAGGACTCCAGCAGTGATAAAAGCTGTGAAGGCGCGAATTCAAAGAAATCCCAAACGTAAGCAGAAACTGTTGGCCCTTCAGATGGGGTTAAGCAGAACCACGGTGAAAAGGGTGTTAAATGAAGACTTAGGGCTTCGGGCATATCGAAGAAAAACAGGACATCGTTTGAATGCTCGTCTAATGGACCTGAGACTGAAAAGATGCCGCGCTTTGTTGAAGCGGTACGCGGGAAAAAAATATCGGGAAATGCTTTTTTCGGATGAAAAAATTTTATCGTAGAAGGGAGCTACAACAAACAAAATGATAAGGTGTACGCACACAGTAGTGAAGATTGAAGAAGCGAGCAACCGTATTCCGCGTGTCCAACGAGGTCATTTTCCATCCTCGCTCATGGTATGGTTGGGAGTTTCTTATTGGGGCTTAAAAGAGGTACATTTTTGTGAGAAAGGTGTAAAAACGAATGCAGTTGTGTATCAAAATACAGTCCTGACGAACCTTGTGGAACCTGTTTCTCATACCATGTTCAATAACAGGCACTGGGTATTCCAACAAGATTCGGCGCCAGTTCATTGAGCGAAGAGCACACAAGACTGGCTGGCGGCGCGTGAAATCGACTTCATCCGGCACGAAGACTGGCCCTCCTGTAGTCCAGATTTGAATCCGTTAAATTACAAGATATGGCAAAACTTGGAGGAAAAGGCGTGCTGAAAGCCTCATCCCAATTTGGAGTCACTCAAGACATCCTTGATTAAGGCAGCCGCCGATATTGCCATGGACCTCGTTCGTGCTGCGATAGACGACTGGCCGCGCAGATTGAAGGCCTGTATTCAAAATCACGGAGGTCATTTTGAATAAACTTTAGTGTCATATGAATCTATGTTTTGTTAAGTTCATTTTGGTATATAAATGGTTACATAATGAATAAACTTGTTTCAATTATTTTATATTAAACATGTGACAGAATTTATGACCTGACTAGGTATATACTAGAGAGGAGTGCGGATCGAAAATCACTTAATAATCGATAATTTTTTTAAATAATTGTAATGAAAAAAAAAAAACGATCAGGTGGAATTGATTCCGAAATGACCTATAAATTGATATTTTTATTTATAGAAAAAAGGAGTATTAGCTCTTGTCTAAAATGAAATTTGGTTTGTAAAATAAACTACAAATTGAACATAGTTCGGTAATTTTTTATATTGAGAAAATTGTATTGTATCGTAAGTATATTGACCAGATTTATCGTAAAAAGAAAGAATGTATCTAAACTATATATATTTTAAGATTCTAAATTTAATAATTTGGCTATCAAAAACCATTTTAAAACTGACAAAAACAGGAACACGCAGCCTTAACAAAAGTCTATTCACTCTTGCCTTGAATATACGCACTGCGTATATTCAAGGCAAGAGTGAATGTGCGTATTACGCACATTGTAATCAGGTGGCATATGCTTGGATAAGTTACTGTCCGAAGCCTAAACAAATTAGATTAAAGCGATAAGACAATGACAATCTGCATAGCCAGATAACAATCATAGAAGTAGAAGGGTCTAGCGCTCGCTGGGGAGAGGGGGGGGGGGTAGCAACTATTGAAAATCTATTACTTAAATTAAAAACATGTACGTACCGAATCTTGGCCCCGATGCTATATATCCTTGTTGGGAGGTGGTTGTCCCCAGTTCACACGCGCTTGCAGGGATGATGATAGTGGTCGCGTAACAAACACACATGTATGCGATGTTAATAAAACCAGCCAAAGTCGTCAAAACATAACTGTACGGACCAAAACCTACAAATAAACGCCACTTTAAGTTCTGAGCATTGTGGACTTAAGAAAATCCTGATATCGTTATCATTTTTTTTATAGGATAAGGGTGACAAACGAGCCCACAGTCCACCTGATGGTAAGTGGTTGCTGCGGCTCATAGATATCTACATATATCCTCTGTTATAAATCAAAATGTAGATGCGTTGTCACCCGTGAGGACTAAGATGGAATGCCTCATTTCCAGTAAAAAGGGCCTCCGGCCACCTGCACTCACCAAGCGAAACGCAGAGGTAAACCTCTACTTCACGCTGGTTTTCTGTGAGGTCGTGGTACTACCCCGGTTCGAGCCGGCCCATCCGTGCGACAGCAAAAGCTGCCGCGTTGCTCTACCACTGTTAATTTTTTTTTTAATTAATTTGAATTGTAAATTGGATATTACGAAGTTTGAATTTCATAAGTTTACGAGTTTTCACATAATTTAAACATTTATGTCTATTTTCAATGCATTATGAAAATTATATAAATGCAGTGACAGAATAACAACACTAGCTAAAAAATCATTTATTACTGAAAGTTATAGCCGTTTCTTTACCCATGTAGGTATAGCTTAGTTGAACAAAGAATGGTATCTAAGTTTCATAGATATTTTACTGGCAGACCCCAGAGTAGGCAAAGCCTTAACAATATCTTGTGGACCAGAAGAACGATGTTTTTATTAAATTGTTAAAACTAACCGAATATATTTTATATATGTTTAGGTTGTCATTCGACATCTTCGTGATTTGTAGACTGATTTTGATGATATTTTTTTTAATAAAAAGTTCATAGATACTTAAGGGATTGTTTAATTATTGACAATTTCCAAACCTAATGGTAGAAAAATTGGAAATAGTAAAAATTAAATAAAAATAAATATGAAAAATTAGAAGTATAATTTAATTTTAATATTTTTTTTAATTATTAGAATATAATGTTTTTTTATAGGTTCGAGTGACAAACGAGCACACAGTCCACTTGATGGTAAGTCGTTGCTGTGGCCCATAGACATCTACATTTATACTCGTTTGCGAATCAAAACGCAGATGCGTTGTCACCCGTGAGGACTAAGATGGAATGCCTCTTTTCCAGTAAAGAGGGTCTACGGTTCTCTACACTCACCATACGAAACAAAGCAGTGTTAAACTGCTATTTGACGCTGGTATTCTGTGAGAGCGTGGTCCTTCCCCGGTCGAGCCGACCCATTCGTGCTACAACTATACCTCTAATATAGCTGCAGCATGGCTCTACCGCGTAAAACAATTTGTAATTTTTAATTAAATACAAAATTTTTAATTAAAACTACTTTATATTATTCCAACGACATTCTGATTGTTTTCTTAAGCTTGCAATACTCCTTATTGCACTCAAAAGGTTTAAAAATTTGAGTTTTAATAAAAAGTATATAATAATAAAATAATAAAACAGCTTTTGAAGTCGGGGCTTTATATCTCCTATATATTGTGTTAACACCGACTTCATAAGTCATTACAGGGATTTTTTTTAGTTTTCTTTTAAAGTGGATTTTTTAATAACGGTTAAAAATTAATTTCTTAAAAAAGCAAAGAATGTTATTTATATTCAAAATACATTTATACAAACCTGCCCAATCCAATGCAGCTTCGAATTGAATTTTACCGTCATTTTGAACTTTTGTATCGACACTCATTTCTTTGAATTACGTGATTGTAAACACTCGTTTAATTTAATTTCCTTGTTTTATTTATATATATGTACACCATCACGAACGTTGCAAATATAAATGTAGAAATTTAGAAAACTCGACATTCATTATCTTATCATAATATTCGCGATTAGAGATTCTATCCGACGTTTTATCGAATGGAACTTTGTTGACTAAAGCTCGCTTTTCACTATGGGATATAATATATATTATATTCCGAGATTTAAATTATATCCCGTGATTGGCTTTCAACTGTGAGGTATATCTTTTAACCAGTGTGCGTTCGTCATTGAATTACATAATTTACACCCCATTAGTTAACAAACAAAATTGTCTTTCACACAAAATGGATATTTGCTCGATAGCCTCGACAGTTTATCAGAGAGAGATGATGCAGAATTCGGTTTATGTGTGTTACTTTTAAGTAAAAACAGGGCGCGTCCATACTGGATATCAAATCATATAAAGTTTAGAGAGGAATATGGTGAATTTAGACCTTTTAATGAATTCTACTAAGAAAAGTTACGAATACAAATGAGTATACGCACTACGCAAAAGTTGATTCAGGTAATGACAGACACGAAATTGAGAACGAACGGGGGCGCGGAACGGTGTCCGAGTTTCAGGGGGCGAAATATAATAGAAAAATATCGCTCGGTCGATCGAAAAAATATTTTTGTTTTTGTTTTTGTTTTGTTTTTATAGTATAGGGTGACAAACGAGCACACAGTCCACCTGATGGTAAGTGGTTGCTGTAGCCCATAGACATCTACATCTATCCTCAATAAAGACTCAAGATGCAGATGCGTTGTCACCCGTGAGGACTAAGATGGAATGCCTCTTTGCCAGTAAAAAGGGGTAAAGTAAAAGTTAAAAAAAAAGGTATAGTATAAGATGTGATATAATATATTATATCTCACTGTAAACGGTTCCATTAAAAAGTACAGTGAGCGATATTAATTTATATCTCGAGATATAATATATGTTACATTATTATATCCCATTGTAAAAAGCGGGCTTTATTGCTTGCACTTACTTATACTTAAAAAAGAGAAGAGAAGAGAATTAACTTACAGAAGGTGGCGCGCGTATCGTTCCGACAAATATATTTGAAAGGTACTTATATATATTATTCAATTTCAATGAATGGAATAGGTCGGTCAGTCGGTCGGTTCAACAGTGGTAGAGCCACGCGGCAGCTTCTGTTGTTGCAAGGATGGGCCGGCTCGAGCCGGTGAAGTACAACGACCTCACACAGAATACCAGCGTAAAGTAGAAGCTTCGCTCCTACATTTCTATCCATGGACTTCTGCAACATCAAGGGACTTCACTCGAACCTTAACGCCGTCCACTACCATTTCGAGACGGCGAAGCCAGGCTTGCTCTTTTTGACCGTGACGCAGGTGTCCTCTCCGTCTGATACTTCGTACCTGTCCTACCCGGGTTACATATTAGTACACTTCTTTGTGCCCTGGGCTGGCGTTTGCGTATACGTCAGAGAGGATATCTGTTCTCGACGCCTCGGCAGTCTTGAAGGTACGGACCTGTCCATCTTTTGGCTGCGCTTAGACAGCGATGACCTCCCCGTGTCTACGGGTGCCGCCATAGGTTCCATAGCGGTAATGCTGACACAGACCGACTCATCGACCACGTCCAAATGGCTACAGATTCCTTGCTACAACAGATCTCATCCGCAGAGATCGTGATAATTGGCGATTTTAACGCCCACCACGCCGAACGGCTCGATTCACGTTTAACCGATCATGCAGGGAGATCTGTTTATGACTTTGCCTTGGTATATGGTCTGATACAACTGGTTACTTCGCCTACGCGGATTACAGATGTGGAGGATCATGCAACTTCCCTATTGGACCTTCTGCTGACCTCACATCCGGACAGATATCAGGTTTCTATCGACGCCCCTCTCGGCTCTGTTGTACTAATGGTGTTGCTGACTCTGTCACTGATGTGGTGCTACAGGGAATGGAACTGTTTATTCTATCATCTGTGGTACATGGGTAGAAGTACGAAGGCAGATCTCAGCCTTGCTTTGGTCGCTCCTGTAAGACTGCATTACGTAGTAAGCAGGAGAGTTATCAGGCCTGGGCTGACGCTTTGGCGGCTCGGGATGTAAATAAATGCAGCCAGCATGCTTAAGAAGAAGTATAACTTCACCTCCATGTCCTTCAAAAGAGTTATTGCCAAGGATAATTATCATATTATGATAAAGTATGAGCACATTGGCAGAATGATCGAGAAATCAGTTCGCTTTCCTTCGGGAATCCGTGCATTCTGGTCTCTCGCCAAGGCTATCCAAGGAAATTTCTGTAAGCCATCACTACCATATCTGCACAGGGAGGACGACTCACTCGCCCACGCTGCAAAAGAGAAAGTCGACCTTTCAGGCTCCCTTTTTGCGTCCAACTCGACTCTCTATGACGGAGGGAACACACTGCCGACCATCCCGTGGTATGAGTAGAGCACTCATACATACTTCATGTTAACAATTATAGTAGGTAGAATTTTTAACAATAAATTCATAAAATATTAAATTGTCAAATAAGAAAAGAAAACAACTAACTAATAATTAAATGATTTCATGGCAGCAAGCGATAGGATTTATGTAGTAACAACTATTTAATAATTACGGCTAGTGCAAATTTGAATGCATAATTGAACGATTAGTCATAGGAGATTTGGCGTATATCTATCGGAACACTTTGCACGTGACGCACATTCACCACCACTTCATTAGCACTGCCACTATCCGCTAGGTGTGCAGCCTCCCCAGGCTGTCGCTGGTCGTGCGAGGAACTTAGAAGGTCCCGTCGGCGCCGCAGCGCGTAGGTGACACCTCGCTCTTAACCGCTGAAACGCTAAGACACCGCTCACAAGCAACAGTGAGCCGGTGACGAAATGTACCCAAGCGCATAGTGGTGTACATCGTGAACTCTTAGTTCACCGCTAGACTGTTCCTTTTACTTCCGCTATTTGCATATTAAGTACACGTAATTTTTGATCTTGCTCGTCTGCTCGTAATTTTGTGTTAAGTCCAATGATAGATGTTTTAATTAATTTGTTTAAAATTGACACCTCTGAGGATTCTATGTTTCCGCTGATATTAATTTTATTGATGAAATTATTGTGTATAAAAATTGTAAAGTCCGTTCCTTTCATGGTACACACAGAGCCAAGATGTAGGATTCCATTGCTTCTCAGTTGTTGTGACGACACTGTCTGGGCAGATAATGCGCACTGCGCATTCTTCGCAACACACGAACAGCCAGCTGTTATCGGCATGTAACTTAACACGGCTCTCTCGGCAAATTGTTACTTCTGACGAACAAGGTGATGTGCTCGTGCCAATATAAATTAATTTAATGTCGCATGTGGATTGTTTAATGCTTATATCGTACACAGGCTTATCTAGGGAGCATAATAATTTTTCTTCAGACAAAGGACGGCAAGATAAAAATTCGAATTCTGATAAAAATATAACTGAGTCTCTCCTGACATTGAAGCCAATATAAGGAAAGTTGGAAATAATATTGTAATAATGATTGTTCCGTTTTTATGGTACACCGATAATTTTGTCTAATTCATAGATGTCACCCCTAATAAGGTTGTATTTATTTCTATAATTAAATATTTGTCGTTGAGGAAGTACGAGATCCTGATATGATATTAATTTGCTTCTGTAATTGCTCCGTCAGCAATATTTAGGTATTTATATGCCCTTGATAAATATCAGTCACATTTTAGTAATAATAATGTGGGATGTTAGAGCCGACAGTAAAAAGTATATGTCATTGTTTGTATCTATACAAATTCTATCCGTGTCTAATTTCAAACCATTAATGTGTGGTACAATGAGAGCGAAGCTTTTATTCATGATATATTCATATCTCTGTAATATTTTTGATTCAGCTCCCATGATGATAGTTTGGTTATGAATCAGTTTATGTAAATGATTTTCAGTTTCAGTTTTTCGTAGTAAAGAGTACTTGAGGGTTGTTGTAAAGATGTGTCAATATTTACCAAGCCTTATCATAATTATCAGCGGAGATATGAAGGTGCTGAATGAGACGCTCTGCTTTCCCTTTAAGTTTTTTTTTATTGGATAAGGGTGACAAACGAGCACACAGTCCACCTGATAGTAAGTGGTTGCTGCGGCCCATAGACATCTACATCTATGCTCTATTACAAATCAAAATGTAGATGCGTTGTCACCCGTGAGGACTAAGATGGAATGCCTCATTTCCAGTAAAAAGGGCCTCCGGCCACCTGCACTCACCAAGCGAAACGCAGAGGCAAACCTCTACTTCACGCTGGTTTTCTGTGAGGTCGTGGTACCACCCCGGTTCGAGCCGGCCCATCCGTGCGACAGCAAAAGCTGCCGCTTGGCTCTACCACTGTTAGTGTTACATTTTTTGAAACTTGCTAATAAATCCGTTGTTATGGACTGTTTCTGTGTACAAATTGAAGAAAGTAAGCCACTAAGTATATTTTGCCGTAAAAGTTGGTATCTCTATTGTGGGGGTTGAATGCTTTAAATGAAGAGTTAAGGTCAGCTTCTTATTTAATTGCCGTTTGATATAGAGATAGATTTTTTCAGCTTCACCTGTATTCGTTATTGTACAGTTCGTCCTGGCCCTGGAGGATATTGTCAATGCGTAAATGTAATTCATCAATAAGTAGCCAGCGTCGGTTTATGTTTTTCAGTTCGTCTTCGATTTCCCATTTTTTTGATAAGTGTAGTTCATCTATGGGCTCCGAAAGTCTATATAATGCTCGAATATTTGTTCTTTGTTACGACAGTAATTCTTCTACTTCTCCGCAGGGTCCGATAGCTTTGTCGATCATTGATACCTTCGGCACTTCAAATGATATTTTTGTTTTGTTGCTCGCTCGTTGCCGTATGGTTGCTGGGCTTAGGGGTAGTTGTTATAGGGGGATATTAACCGCTTCGTAGGCTCATAGTACTCCTTGATACGGGCAAAGATGTTTTAGCGAAGTATTCATGCTGCCTATCCTTGTAACTTGCGAGAGTTCTGTCATTGGCTTCGAACTCACTCCACAATTCACCTAACGCGCGAACCCTCTTCTCAATGTAGTCCCGAGTCTTGCGACTGGAGCTGTCTTTGCTAAAGTTTACGCCGATGCACTCTATCTCGGCGGTATGTTCACTCAGCCGTACCAATAACTTATCCATGATATGTGGAGAGGAGTTGATGGGGCAAAGTAGAAAGTAAATTAAATGGAAAGATCTTACTTGATGCTTGACGATTAGCTGAGCGGTAGCTTCCGGGTCAGCCTGTGACACCTCTGCGCTGCTATGTATTGCTCTGCGCTGGTATGTATAGCTCTGCGCTGCTATGTATTGCTCTGCGCTGCTATGTATTGCTCTTAGCTCTGAGCTGCTAACAGGTACTAGTGTATTCCTTCATCAAACTCAACTTACATCGAAGTTGAGCTTGATGAAGGAATACACTAGTACCTCACTTCACTGTACTCTTTAATGATATTACTTAATAAAAGATAGTTTGGATATACTTTTAATGATGTGAAATGATTCACACTATGATGACACACAGTCACTACACCTTTCAGTTTCAGTATGATAAAATATTACTTCAATTTGACAATATAAAATGATAATCAATGAATAATAAACCTAGTTAATAAATTTACTGAACTGTCCACGTTTGGAAACACGCGATTTTCGGCGAAAATTGATACACGCGACACGAGTTCCCACTTTGACCTCCCCGCACGCTAGATCAAAGGTACGAAGTACTGACGAAAAATCCCGCTTGTTCGTGAGCTCGAACGTACAAAAAAATGTAGGGTTTGTCTAAACTTTTTAGTATTTAAAAATGATAATTTAATATGATATTGATAATAATAAAATGATAACGACTGCTTGACATGAATGCTTGAAGTGCACTACTCGCCGAGTAGTGGGCGTTAAAGTGCTGTGTAATTAAGACTGCTAAGTAAACAACTTAAATACATATAAGTCATTGTGAAATATTTACGTGTCACCGTACACACATCGCGCCATAACTCCCAATACCATCCACACCATGTGGATGCTTGGCCACTGTACGTTTTACTAGGAGTTTTCTTCCTCGCACGACTTCGTTGTAGAATCAAATACCACCAGCAATTTTATCGGACTAATACGACTTAGGGACCTTCAAGAACAGAGCCTAATTCTGAAGTTTTATTACAAAAAATGGAAAAATAAGACTCAAACCGCGATAAATATTTGCATGTGTCAGTAAGAGTAGCACAAAGTTGGTTCAAGCATTTTCAGTCCAGCCGGGCTATTCACAATCGTCTCGGAAAGCGAATTCGACTCGGATTCGATAACTTCTCGCACCGAAACCAATAAACGCTATTCACATTTAACGTTCGGATAAAGGTCACTTAGATAGATCCCATAACTATTGTATCGTCATTTAGTTACATGCATTTACGAATTTTGTAGATAAATAGGCTTTTGTATTTTTTTAGAGTAACGCCTAAACAAAAACATAATGCAATATTTTGGTGTTAGCCATTGATATCGAATATAAAAAATATATAATTTAACTATATAATAAATAACAAAAAAACTGAGATATGTCTCGTTTCACAAAGCAGCATATATATATGCTGCTTTGTGATAGAAAACTTATAAAAACATACCTTTCACAAAAATTCAGCTTTACGATAAAGTGCAAATATTGTAAGTAATTATATGAAAATACGTCTTATAGATAATTGTAATTAATTTTTGTTACCTACCTTATAATTAAAAGCGTTTATTTATCTCTTCTAATCATCAATATTCGAAAAGTTTTCGCCAGCCTCAGAGCTCTCGTAAAGTTTCCGATGCAAACTATCACAATTATCGAAAACAAACGTCAAAGAAGTACGGTCACGCCCCATAGAAAAAAATCCAGACCCGACAGAAACGAGACATATCTCAGTTTTTTTGTTATTTATTATATAGTTAAATTATATATTTTTTATATTCGATATCAATGGCTAACTTCAAAATATTGCATTATGTTTTTGTTCAGGCGTTACTCTAAAAAAATACAAAAACCTATTTATCTACAAAATTCGTAAATGCATGTAACTAAATGACGATACAATAGTTATAGGATGTATTTAAGTGACCTTTATCCGAACGTTAAATGTTAATAGCGTTTATTGGTTTCGGTGCGAGAAGTTATCGAATCCGAGTCGATTTCGCTTTCCGAGACGATTGTGAATAGCCCTGCAGGAATTTTGATGTTTGATGCCACTTTTGAAAAAGTGGAGCAAGATCGGCATATTACTGGTTACAAAATAGCCGAGGGGATTAAAAAAGTCTGGCTATACAAACAAGCGCGATATTTGGCTACCACACGAGCTCACTGAATGAAACCTAATGAATCATGTACTCATTTGCGATTCTCTATTTCGGAAAAAACTTCTGTACTGTGAAGAACAAACAAGAAAGGTTAGGGAGGGAGTTATTTTTAAATAAAATTAATTTACTTTATACATTTATAATTATTTTATATACAATTTATAATTATTATTTTATACAATGAGTAGGTACGAAAACATTTAGAATGTAAGTAATATGTACTTGTAGGTATGTAGTACGTAATAGCTCAATGAGAAACACCATAATAGAGATCGGCTCATTCCAAGGGGTTAATCAATAATGTAGGTACTCTTTAGTAATATAATAACACTTACTAAAATATTTTTGCTTAATAAA